CTGTTAACTCTAATAAAAATAACAAATACAATATTTCATTTCAATAACTAATTACAATTTAATAATTAAAGAAAAAATAAATAATAATTTATTTTATTATTACAATGGGCAGAAATTATGAAAAATATAATTTGTTAAAATGACAATAATTAACAATTGTGAATGGAATAAGGCAAATAATATTAGACATAGATCATCCGTCTCATCGTTGCTCCCGTCGCGGTATGGCGCCAAAAAATATTTAAATTTAAATGGTTTTTTATTTACAACAATTTATTTTATAACATTAACCGATGGAATACTGAGATCTGCTAAAGTTACAATAGTTTTTGTACACTATCATTTACGTTTAAAAACGATTTTTACTAAAACTATTAAGCTATATTAGTTAAATATTACATCAACTCTTCTGTAATTGCATTACCCATCCACAGAAATTAATTTAATATATTTTATACTTTTCAAAAAATACAAATATTATTACAATATTTAAATACCTATATAAATGTAAATATTCATATAAATACATTTAAAAATTTAATGTATGGCTATTATATATATATATATAGAATCATAAAGGAAGAAATTGATAATAATAAAAAAAGAGCGGGAATTTTAATCATAAGAGTTTATAATTTGAAAATGGTTTGATAACTAATCTATCAATTGTCTGTCGGTAAATAATTGTTATTTTTTCAACATTTTTAATTGTTTTTTTTTTTGTTTTATGATTATTTTTATTTATTTTTTAATAATTGTTTTAATAACCAATTATTGAAATGAAAAGATCTCATAGTAAAATTCAAAAGGTATGTATGAAACACACCAAAAATGTATATTATATTTATAAAAATGTTGTTTTTAGGTTGAATCTTGTTCTAAGCAAATTAAAATTACCACTTTATTCTCACGTATTTCACATGAGCCATCCAAAATTGAAAAGGCAAATAATGATAATAAAACACCTATTATGAAATCTTTGCCAAGCCCGATTTCAAGTCCAGATATTATACCACCATCTCCAATATTAAAAAAAAAATCAATCAAAGCAAAAAGAAGTTTAAATTGTAAATTAATTGATGACATAGATCTTAATAATAAGTCTTCAAATAATGTTATTATCTCCAAAAAAACATTAAATTTATCTACAAATACTACAGAACATTCTAAAATAGATGACCATGATGTTGATAGTCAGTCTTGTAATGGCACAGAATCAATTGCAAGTACGATTTATGATGACACTGACTTTTGTTCTGATATGTTCCTTGATGATTGGACTGACTCTTGTTCTTCGCCTTTTAAGTAATTATTTACATTTTTATCAATTGTATAATTTTATGTTAGAACAATTATAACAATGATATAATATATTTTTTTTCTCAATATATTAGAGATATTGATTTGACCATACCACATAGATGTATTATAAAATATATTGTAAAAGAGGTAGGAAAAATTTGTTTGTCTTTAAATTCTTGCAAAAGTAATCACACACAATGCGTATGTTATCTCAGTGGTATTTGGTAAGTATATTATTTTAAATTAATAATATGATAATTATGTATAAATTCTTGAATTTATATTTGCATTTATAATAATTTAATTTAGGTTTAAAATATATGTTTTTATAATTTTATATATCCAGGCTTCATAGCTTATTTGAAGTAGGAGATATAGTGACCGTAATGGCAGAAAAATTCAATGATCTCTGGTCAGTAAATAATGATTATGGTTTTGTTACTAGACACTCAGACTTTTTGGTATCCGGTACAACAATTGTTGGATCATTATTCTGTTCACGACGTTCAGTTCTTACTGATATATATAAGGGTCTTGATTGTTGTCCGGCTAATATGGTTATGGGAACACTTCTCCATCAATTATTACAAACTGTATTAATATTTTTATTATTTTCTAATTTTTTATTATTTAATGTATTCAGATAATTATTTTTATTAGGTACTAAAAAGAAAGCAATTTAGTTACAATGGCATTCAAGCTGTAGTAGATGAAATGATTAACAGCCAAGATTTTATCCATACATTATATGAATCTGATATGAATTTAGAAATAACTAAAAAAGAGCTAATGGATTTCATACCGAAAATCCAAAGTTTTGTTAGAAATTATGTGGCCGGTTATCAAACGTAAGTTACATTTTCTTTACATAATTCCTAAAAAAAATAATACACATTACCATTAATTAAATTTCTGTTTACATTAGTATGCTAAAGACTAAGGAAAAAGTACTTAATGCTAATTTTACTAATTTAGCTTATTATTTTGTGTTAATGTATTTTGATGTTCATATTTTTGACAATGACTTGTAATATAATAAATAGTTTCTTTTTTAATGTTGAAATAAACAAAAAAATTAAAGTTATAAAAGTAAATGCAAATTATAAGTTTTTTCTTTGATTAGTGGGAAAGATAAAAAAACTTGGAATGGTGAAATAATGTCAGTTGAAGATATAGAAGAAAATTTATGGGTACCTGAATTTGGTGTTAAGGGTAAGGTAGATGTAACTGTACTAGCAAAATATGATGGTAAATGCAAAATAATGCCAGTTGAGTTGAAAACTGGACGAGCTTCTGGAAGTGAAGAGCATCGTGGTCAAGTGATATTGTATGTAATAATGATGGCAAAATTAGGCATGGATGTAGATTCAGGCTTATTGTTATATCTCAGGTAAATATGTATATAATTGGATAATGATGAAATACTTTGTTTTATCAATAATACATTTTGAATATGTAGAGAAAATGTTTTAACCCAAGTCAAAGTTGGACATAAAGAAAAACGAGATTTAATAATGCTACGTAATAGACTTGTGCACTATTTAAATGCAAATAAAGTAATTTCAGATCCTAATGATAACTATATTCCAACATTACCTGAACCCATAAATCATCATAATGCTTGCTCAAAATGTTCATATTTGACTACATGTAGTGCTATTTTAAGGTGAAATAATTATATTAACTGTTAAATGTATTTAATTTTATTGATAATATGTTTATAAAATAATTGTAGTAAAGAAGGGTTTGATAAACTGGATAATCATAATCCGTTAAAAAGTTTAGGCCCTCAAGCTATAAGCCATTTAAAACTTGAACATATTAATTATGTCATGCAATGGACAGCTTTATTACAGTTAGAAAATTGTATTGAAGACACTAGAGATAATTTAACTGCAAAAACTAGTGACATATGGACATTACCAATTAATGAACGGTTAGTAATAAAATATTTCAGATTTTTTAATTTCTTATATAGTATCTCATCAGATCAAAAACAGAATTAAAAATGTTGAAGTGCATTAAAATACATGTATGATCAAATATTAAATGCTAGTGCAATTAAAACCATAACAACAATAGCTCATAGTTAATAATCTATTGTCAGATAAGCTTATGCTACAAGCTATTTTATTTGATATATATTATATTATTATATATTATATATTATTGTATATTCATAATAATTAGATTGATTTTTAAATTAATATATTTTTATAAAATAACTATTTTTTCATTATTTTTAGGGACCCCTAAACTATCTTTTGTGATCCCTAGCTTGAAAACCTCTGTAAGTGTATAGAACCTATTTTTTAATTGTTTTCAGTGAAAGCCGTGGACATTGTATTTCTTCATTGATTGTTATAAAAGCTGTTAAAGAACAAGGAGACCGTTATTATTTACACACAATGAAAAAATCAGACAAATCTAATAAAAAAAGCTTTAAACTCACAACATTTTCTGTAAATAATTATTCAATAATTAGTACAGATGATCGAAATGCAATCGCTACAGGTTTTATTTCTGATATTACTGACACTTCAGTGGATCTATTATTAGATAGGTAAAATAAAAGAAACTTTAATATTAAATTTGTGTTAATTACACTAATTTTTCAGGGATTTAACTAAACTCAAACCATCATTATATCATTTAGATAAATATGAATCACAGTCAATAGTAGCATTTAATTTTTCTAGTTTAGCTCTATTATTAGAACCTAGTGAAAATTCAGCACAATTAAGACGATATATAATTGACAAAGAAATACCAAAATTTTTACCAATCAAAAGCAACATAGATTTTTTTATTAAAAGCTCTGGATTGACTTTAAATTTAAATTTTTCCCAAAAATCAGCCATTATCAAGGCTTTAATTGCTGAAAACTATGCTCTAATTAAGGGTATGCCTGGAACTGGTAAAACATCAACTGTAGCTACTCTTATTCGATTACTTGTATTGATGGGTCGGTCAGTGTTGGTCACTTCTCATACTCATTCAGCTGTTGATAATCTTTTGCTATTGTTGCATAAAAATGGAATTGATTTTTTGAGGTTGGGTTCAAAAACTTGTGTTCATCCTGATTTATGGGAAAAATGTGATAAAATTGTTTCTCAAAGTTGTGATTCAACTGACAAATTATCAAAGTTATACAATCAAGTGGTAAAGTCTTTCATAAATGCTTTTTTTATGTTTTCTCAAACTAAAAATATGACCTACAGAATGTTGTTGGAGTGACTTGTCTTGGATGTGGACATGCGTTACTTCAAAAACGTAAATTTGATGTATGTATTGTGGATGAAGCCACCCAAGTAGTACAGTCATCAGTCATAGCTGCTCTTCATTCTTCTAAGGTATTTGTTTTAGTTGGTGACCCACAACAACTACCACCTCTAATCAAGAATAAAAAAGCAAAGTAAAATTAAATTTTTATACTAATAATAATACATCTAAAAATAATTATTGTAATCCTGATGTTTTCAGAGATTTAGGTATGGATATCAGTTTGTTTGAAAGATTAGATAGGCCATCTGTTACTGCTGTTCTTCGTGTTCAATACCGAATGAATGGTCCTATAGCAGAACTTGCCAACAAATATACTTATAATGGGAGCTTAAAATGTGCAAATGATGCTGTAAAGTATGCAACAATAAAACTCAAAGAAACACATGTAAGTTTGAATATTTTGAGTATTTTGTCAAAATAAATTAATGTAATTTAATTATAGGTTAAAGATGAATGGTTGAAAAATATTGTATCATCAGATTTAAATAAGTCTGTTTTACTTTTGGATACAGGAATTGTGAATAGTAGTTCAACAGACACAAATCTAACAGAAGTGAAAATTATCAAACAAATAATTTTAATTTTAATTCAAGTAAATTTATATCAATAATAAATGTATTATTGATGTTTTAATATTGTTTTTCATTTCTGTTAAATAGGGTGGACTTACAGAAGAATCAATTGGTGTCATTGCTCCTTACAGAGCCCAAGTAACACTTTTGAAAAATGAAATTTTGATTGTGAATCCCGACATTGAAGTAAATACAGTTGATCAGTATCAAGGACGAGACAAAGAAGTTATAATATACTCTTGTACAAAGAATACTGTTGCCAAAGTAATTAATTCAGTAATTATATATTAATTTTCTCTATTAACTATGGTCTACTATATTTTAAGGATGTTGGCATATTGAGTGACAAAAGAAGAATAACTGTGGCTATAACTAGAGCTAAGCATAAATTAATTATAATTGGTGATGTAATGAGAATGAAAAATTACGAAACATTCAATAGCTTATTTAGCCATATTACTAATATCATAAAACTACCTCAAGTTTAAAATCTTAAACTGATTTAATATTTTATAATAATAACTGATAACCTTTTTATGTATATTGTGATGTAATTTTTTTGCATATTTTTTTAGTAAGATGTCTTTAAATTATTACATTTTCATTAATATCATTCTCAGTTTTAGAATACACATTAATTATTATAATAATAATTATATTTTTTAATAATAATATGAAACTTATTACCAAAAAAATAAACAAAGTGTTCAAATCAGCTATTTTATATTTTACGATGATGTAATATTACCTAATCCTAATCTATATTCAATAAATATTGAATACATCATGTAATTTTAAATGCGATTTTTGATTATTCATGACATAAATATATTATTGTATTCTGTAACATTGTAACATAAATAACTAAAATTTTCTAGATCATGTGATGTCTAGATGTCGTAGATTAGAGAAGGCACTTATTAGTATATAATCACTAAGTAACATGCCTAAATGGCTATATATGATAATGTTACCAATCGAATTATAATTGATTCACAATCATCGTATATTTTATTGCCCCTGTCTAACACAAATGCGCCCTCGTGAACCTTGAATTATTCCATTACCCAAACTCTTTCTACATAACACTTGCAGTGTGTTTTATATATTTAAATAGAAACTTGGCACCCATGATCTACATTTTCGGGCAAACACGAGTTTGAGGTTCGATGATAAGATGGCTGATAATCAACTACTGGTCAATTTGCACTTTGATCGCCTTTGACGGACAAAGAAATTACACGTGATGATCCTATGGTGGCTGTGAATAAAGCCATTATAGCTAAGTGAGCGTATTTCATGCACGATAGGTGATATAAATACCTATAAAACGTGTGTAATTTTATGTATGAGATTCTTGGTCTTCAAGTCGTATAAAATCTAAGCAAATACACAAATTCAGTATAAAATGAAATATATCTCTTTATTCCTTAATAAACTACTTTAACTATTTTTTAAAATTTAATATTACTAATTATTCATTATTATAATAGTATATTATGGAGTCTATTATCACAGAAAGATATATTTTATTTTCACACATTTCATCTTTATTAAGTACCTCATGAAAAAACTTTCTAATTTTATTCTGGTATTGGGTAAGGTTACCAAGGAGCCTAATTTAATATGATTGTAAAAAATAAATATATAATACGTTCACGGTTATTTATTTATTTTTTGTTATCAAATCTAATTGATTTATAAAATCAATCTCAAATTATTCCCTAACAAATTTTATTTTATTTTTATATACATAAATATCTACGTATAACATTTTTTTTACTATAAAAATTACAAAAAATTAGCTGCTTAATTCCGTGAATTCTCTCCTTTACATTTCACGTACTCTTATTAAAAATGTATACTTACTACGTATAAATGTATTATGTATATAAGGTTAACCCAAGTTTAAAATTGGAATCCTTTTAAATTATGATATACATTCATATATTCATATACATTCAGTTGTAAAGTAATATTTTGTATTTTCTCCCCTTCCCCATGGTCATCCCCTATAATAAATACTTTTTTTACATTTATAAAATTCGTAAATATTTTTTCAAGTGATCTGTTTTCCTGTAATTTTATAAAATAGGAAAAATAACTATGTAGCTACAAAAATCACTTTCATACATTTTTACACCCCAAAAATGTGTATTCCGGGTATCTGTCATATTTTTCTTTTTAACTTTAAACATGTCATTGAACTAGAGTTAACTTAAATTAGACAATTAAAGCAACTTTACGATAAATAATTCAAATGAGTATTATAATTTAGGTAAACTAAGGCATTGACGACTTTTTTATTTTAGATTATTTTATAATTTAAATACTCTGTGTATCTAAAATAAAACAAAGTAATTAGTAATGGGTTTTTTATCTACTTTTTGAAGATATATTTAGCATAAACTATATTTATATAAACAAATATAAATTGACTGTTTTATCTTTCATTTGTTCATTATTTTATCATCAGTTATAAATTGAATTACTCTTCAAGTATCTCCCCACTATATACTGGCCAGTAGGGTGCCTATAATTTTATCGCTTTGTCGTTGATGTATGTGTTTTTTTTT